TGCTTTTAATCACCGAGCCATCTCTCCAGGCCCCTGCAGGGTTTTCCAATCCAAGTGTCTGTCAGACGCCTCCTGCTGCTTTTCTGTTGGATTGCTTAGTCTCTGGCTGGGAAAGTACACACACTTGGTCACAGTGGTTGTCTGTGTTCATTGTTGAGGGACAGTACAGAAGGCGCTAAATTTGCACACACACACACACACACACACACACACACACACACACACCCATATCCTCAAGGTTTGATATTGTTAAGTGTTAAGGGCTCTTGGCAATTTTTGAACACAGGTCCTTTATCATGCATGTGTTTTGCAGAGGATTTTTCTCCCAGGCTGTGGATTCTCTTTTTCAGTCTCATAGAAGTATCTTTTGTAGAGCAGGTTTTAAATTTCAATAAATTTAAAACTCCAACTTATCAATTAATTCTTCCACAGATTGTGATTTTGGTGTGTCTAAAATGTTTTCACTACATCTGGGGTTGTAGCTCAGGGATAAAGTAATTAATTACCTACTATGCGTTAGGCCCTAGCACCACAAGAAAGAAAAAGACCCCACCAAACCCAAAGTCACCTAGATTTTAGCCCAGGTGTCTCTCAGCAGTTTGAGTTGTGTGTCCTATGGTTAGTAGTTAGTTGCTTTTCTGTTGCTGTGATGAGCATGGGACCAGAACAATTTCTAGAAACTATAGAAAGCCCTAGCTGACCCTCTTCCTCCCCAAGGCCACAGCTCACCAATCTACCCGAATAGTGAGACCAACCGGAGACCAACTATTCAGACATTTGTGCCCCAGGAGATGGTCTTATTCAAACCACCACAGTTCATTTTAAGTTAACTTTTGTTTAAGGTGGCATGTGTCTTGTACATTTATCTTATTTTATGGAGATCCATTTTTCTTTTTCTCTTTCTTTCTTTCTTTCTTTCTTTCTTTCTTTCTTTCTTTCTTTCTTTCTTTCTTTCTTTCTTTCTTTCTTTCTTTCTTTCTTTTTTTTTCCAAGACAGGGTTTCTCTGTGTAGCTTTGTGCCTTTCCTGGAACTCACTCTATAGTCCAAGCTGGCCTTGAACTCACAGAGATCTGCTTGGCTCTGCCTCCCGAGTGTTGGGCTTAAAGGCGTGCGTCACCACCGCCCAGCGATGAGATCCATTATTCTAACAGGATTTATTAAAGAGACTTTGCACTTAAAACATTGTTCTACTTTGGGCTGAAGAAATGACTTAGCAGTTAAGATCATATATTGCTTTTCAAGAGGACCCGAGTTCAATTCCCAGCACCCATGCTGGGCAGCTGAACTGCCTCTAACTACAGTTCCAGGTGACCCGACATCTCTGGACTCCATGGGTACCCACACACATGGCATGCACTCACGTAGACACACACATGATTTAAAATAAATGAATGTTAAAATTTTTTATGTGAGCCAAGAAGTGCTGGTGCATGCTTCCCAGCACTCAGGAGGCAGAGGCAGGTGGATCTCTATTTGAGGCCCGCCTGGTCTACAGAGCGAGTTCCAGGACAGTCAGGGCTGCTACACAGACAAACCTTGACTCAAAAGACAAAAGCAAACAAAAAGACAACAACAACATTATGTGTATGTGTGTTCAGCCTGCATGTATGTCTGTGTACTAAGGACATGCCTGGTACAGAAGAGGGCATCAGATGCTGTGGGACTGGAGTTACAGATGGTTAGTAGCCAGCATGTGGGTGCTGGGAACGGAACCCAGGACCTCTGGAAGAGCAGCTGGTGCTCTTAACTGCTGAGCCATCTCTCCAGTCATATTTGCACCTTTATAGAAGATCTGTTGACTCTGTGTGTGAGTCCATTTATACCCCGTCTCATCTGCCCATCTTATATAGGTTTCCCAGGTTCACGATGAAGTCTGTATCATATGCAACTAACACACTTCCTACTGGGCCGTGCAGAAACCAAGGATGATGGTAATCTAGGACCTTCCCCCCAGGCCAGGAGCTGCAGCTGAGCCGGTCAGAGCTGCAGCCTGCACCTGCCTCACGGAGGGGCTTCCGTGCCTCATGCCGTCTGATGGTGCTAGGATGTGACTTTTAACACCCTGACCCGACAAGGCGTTCACCGGGGGCTGGATTCCAGCTGCCTCTTTCCTTCCGGGTGTTTGGAATCTTGGCTCAGCTGGCTGTGATGGAGAGACCTCTCACTCAGGGCTCCTTTGGACCTTTGCCATTTGTTACAATATTGAGGCAGGGTTAAACGCATCCTCTCTGTGACCTGGACCACAGTTGAATTTCCCTGCGTCAAGCTGACCCTTCTTTTTTTTTTCTTCCCTGAAGTCACTTTGTCTGAGTCACTGTCCCGCTGCTGTGAGGAGACACCATGACCATCGCAGCTCATATAAGGAAAACAATTAACTGGGGGTGGCTTACAGTTCAGAGGTTCAGTCCATTATCACGGTGGGAAACACGGAGGCGCACAGGTAGACACGGTGCTGGAGAAGGAGCCGAGGAGCCGAGAGTTCTGCATCAGGTTCGGCAGGCAAGCTTCCAGGACGGAGAGACACTGTGCCTGGCTTGAGCTTCTGAAACTCCAAAGCCCACCACAAATGGCACACTTCCTCCAACAAGGCCACCCCCTAAGAGCCTATAGGGGCGTTTTCATTCAAACCACTACACGCTTCAAGGGCCCTGTCCTTGAGGGCTTCCTCTTGTGGGTCTGAAGGCCATCTGCTTCATGGGACCATTGAACTGGGCACTGTGCTAAAAATCTTCTAAGCAGACAAAAATCTAGGTTGGTTTTTCATTGTTTTTTTTTTGTTTGTTTGTTTTTGTTTTTGTTTTGTTTTGTTTTGTTTGAGACAGGGTTTCTCTGTAGCTTTGCGCCTTTCCTGGATCTCGCTCTGTAGACCAGGCTGGTCTCGAACTCACAAAGATCCACCTGGCTCTGCCTCCCGAGTGCTGGGATTAAAGGCGTGCAGCCCCCCCTGCCCCCCTCCCCTCTCCCCCGCCCCCGGCGGTTTTTCTTTTCTTTTCTTTTCTTTTTTTTCTCGAGACAGGGTTTCTCTGTGTAGCTTTGCGCCTTTCCTGGAACTCACTTGGTAGTCCAGGCTGGCCTCGAACTCACAGAGATCCACCCGGCTCTGGATTAAAGGCGTGCGCCACCACCGCCCCGCTGGTTTTTCGTTTTTAATGTGGAATATCTTTAAGGTTTTCAAGCCAAATGTCAGTTTAAAAAACAAAAAAATCAGGGGCTGGAGAGATGACTCGTTGACTAAGAGCAGCACCATCTGCTCATCCTGGGTCCTGGGTTCCCTTTCCAGCACCACAAAGAGGCTCACAATCGCCCATGACTCCGGGGATCTGATGCCATCCCCTAGGTCGCCTGGAGAAGTTGGCTGTACAGACAGAAAGGAGCTGAAGGGCGCACTTAGAAGTCCCGTTCCCTGCATATTAAGGGCGGGGAGAAGGAACACTAGAAAAATAACTGGATAACATGGAGTCACCCTTTTCGTGTAAGGGTTTAGGCAGAGGGAACTCACTATTCTGAAAGTTTAAACTGGCTATCCCTAATGTCTTAAAAAGTCAGTTTGGTTTCAGCCGGGGAATTTTACCACGAGGGACCCCACTTTGATTTCCAGCTTGCTCCCACGCCTAGCGCACGAACTCAGTCCCAAACAACGGCCACCTGTAATTTTTAAGAGAACGTAAATTTTTATAAGCGGTAATGGAATAATTCATGGAGGACACACAGTAAACGAAGCGGTCAGATTTAGAGTCCACTACTCACTGGATGCCGAAGGCAAAGCCCTTTTGAGAAAACTTCATGTTTGTGTATTGGTGTTTTGTCGGCGTATGTCTGTGCATCACGGGCACGAGTTACAGACCGGTGTGAGCCACCCTGTGGGTGCCGGGAATTGAGCTGGAAGAGTAGTCACTGAGCTAGCTGTCTCTTCAGCCCCACACTTGCTTTTGGAGCAGAGATCAGAAGGAATCTGAGAGGTGAAGGCTGGATTTGGGTACTAAACTTGGGGTGAGCCCCTCCGGGGTGAGCTGCCACCACTGGCCTAGTAGCCTAGCAAGGAAGTACCATATCAAAGGGAGGCTTTGCGGGCTTTGGGGCCCTTCCTGACAAGGGCGAGGCTAAGGAGTTAGCGAGGGCACGGCCGTGAAGACGTCCAACGGCACATGGCGATTTACAGCCCAGCCCTAAAATTTCTTTAAAGCGTGTCCCACATCCAGTTCGGAGCAGGGAACCTGGACAGGTTAGCTGTCGTCCGTGGCTTCCCAGGTTGGGGGCTGGCCCAGCCCAGCCCGTGCCACCCACCAGCTCTCTGACATATGCACTGGTGCAGCTGCTGGGGACCAAGGGCAAGCGCCGGGGAAGCCCGGTCTCGGGTGTCCCCGCCCACAGGGGCGCGGCCGCGCAGCGCAGTCATTGGTGCCCGGGACGCTGACGCGAGTCCCTGGCCGTGGCCGCGGGGGCCCGCGGAGGGCGGCGCGCGGCTGATGAAACCCGCCCGGATCCCGCCCGCGCGCGCCATCCCCTCCGCCAGCAGGTGTGAGCGGTTCTTTTTACCCGCGGTCCCCACCCAGCTCAGCATCCCGTCGCCTCCTCGGTGAGTACGCGAGCCCGGGTGACTGCCCAAGGAAGCCCGAAAAGCCTGGGTCACCCCTCTCTTCTCTCTCTCTGTGGGAACCCAGAGCCTCCCGTGGACACTCAGGCAAGGCGAGGGTTCTTCTTAACCTCCCCATCTCCGGGGATGCGTGCGTGGGGCGGGCACTCGTGTTCCGGTCGCCTCCTCCGAGTCCATCTTGGTCCTCTGCAGGCGCGGCGTGGTGCATGATGCAACAGCGGGAGGGAGTGAGCACGGGCGGTCCGGGCACTCGTGCCACGCGTGGCCGTGCAAGGGCTCCACGTGGGCGCGGGGACTCGTCCACGCCGGCCGCGCCGGGTGGCGTCCCGAGCCGCCGCTGCCCGGGTGATCTTCCCTTACATGGCGCGGTGCGCGGCACCCCGCCCCGCCACGCGGTCCCGGGCAGTGTCGTCAGCCGAGCCGCGCGCAGGGTGGACTCCATCAGGTCCCCCAGGCAGGTCCCCTGTGACCGCAGACCCGAGATTCCCGCTCGCCGGGTCGCTTCCGTAGTCCCCAGAGGTCACTTTGGAGGGACTCCTTCTTGGGTGGGTTTTCCTGGTGACCTGATTCGGCCTGCGCAGACTGTTCTTCCAGATGGTGTGGAGTGGGAGGAAGTTCTTCCGGCTCCATAGACAACCTGAGCTCAGCGTGTTCCTCTCTGCGTAGTGGAAGACTTCCTGGGCACGGGCAGGTCACCAGCCACGCAAGTGTCCGCAGAGCAACCTGGTGGGAGTGTCGCTCGCTCCGGTCCGCGGTCCGCGTCCTGGCGTGTTGAGATAGCCAGACATGTGCCGGGGTAGCCAGACATGTGCCGGTCAGAAAACAAAACAAACCCAAAAACTACATTTCCCAGCACCCACGGTTATTATACTCTCACGTGCCGGAGGACAGGGCTGGGATTTCAACGATAGGTGGATTTTTCCTAAAGGTGAGTAAAGTTTCACTAGCACCCCGAACATTATCTCTGGCTGAATATCCCTGCCGTGATGGAGTCAGTTTGTAATTTACTTGGGTTTTTCTTAACATTTCTTGTCCTTCGTGTGTGGTTGAGATAATAGGAAACCACGATACAGTCATCCCCTTGGTATTTTTAGTTGGTCTCAATGGAAATTATTATTTTTATGTGAGCACGCCCTTCTGTCACTAAAACAAAAGGGCTTAAGTCACGTGACCCAAATAGAAAGTTAGGGGGAAAGCCAACCCGTGGGTTGAAACAGCTTTGAAAAGTTTAGCGTTTTCAGACCCTGTTTTATCCAGGGGGTGAAATTTGGAGGGTGTATGAGGGGGCTTGGATAAACAAAGAGAACAGGAGGTAAGTGGAGAACAGAGATACCTCAGTGGCTGGGGCTGAACCTCACAGCCACAGGGCTTGGCCCATAATTACCGGACTTAGATCTATTTATTTATTTACTTATCTATTTATATTTATTTACTTGTGTGAAGACAAGATGGTTTTATTTATTCATTCATTTATTTGTTTGTTTATTTATTAAAGGTGTGAAGGCAAGATGGTTCCGGTAGGGATTTCTCTTCTAAGACACATGGTCATTATATGTGTTAGATCTGTTTCTTTCCATCCCCACCTCCCCCTGTACCCCATCCCATCCCCTTCACGTCGGCCAGACTGGCCTCAAACTTGCTACTTAGCGAAAGATGGCCTTGAACTTCTTGATCCTCTCGCCTCCCTCTACCTCCCAAATGCTGGGGTTACAGGCGTGCGCCCCGGATCCAGCCCGGGGTCTCCTGCGTACTAGACAAGCACTTTACCAACTGACCTTACGTCCCCAGCTCAGACGTTGTTTAAAAGTTTAAAACGATTTTCATTTCTTACTCTCGTGTGCGTGTAGGATATGTGTAGGCGTGCGCGTGTGCCGCCGTGCACACGTGGAGTGCATTCTCGTCTACCTTCCTGTGCGTGTTGGGGGTCGGACCCAGGCTGCAGGCTTCATGGCAGACATTTCACGAGCTGGGTTATTTTGTAGGCCCCGGAGTGCAGTTTTGGATGTCATTAAGTACATTGATTGGTGTTTAAGTCTGTTTTCTTTTTACTAAGCCCAGTAAGAACAGGTAACAGCGTGGTTGCATGATGCCCTGTGAACTGAAGCCTTCCTCCTTACTAACCGTGGACTTAGAAGTGAATATTAATCCTAGGGAGAATGGTGAAGACAGAAGTCCTTGTTAGGGAAAGGAATGTCCAGAACCCTGGGGCTATCAAGACATCTGTGCCGCCGCCGCCCACAGGCATCACCTGTAATGTCTTATCATTTCACCTGGCCCTTAGTCATCACCGCAGCCAGGACCCGCAGATGAGACCTTAGGACCGTGGTCCTCGGCCTTCCTCTGCGGCCCTTTAATACACTTCCTCGTGTTGTGGTGACGCCTCAACCATACAATTATTTTCCTTGCTACTTCATAACTGTAATTTTGCTACTGCCCTGACTCGTAATGTAAACATCTGATATGCTGGGTATTTGACATGTGACTGGGTCGGTTGACCCCCAAGGGGTCTCGACCCACAGGTTGAGAACCAGTGCCTCCACCCCACCCCGTAATTGGTCCTTTCAGGCTGGGCTCGAGGTGGGTGTGAGAGGGGTGGTATGTGTGCTAAGCCTACTCTGTGTCTCCAAGTCGCAGCCCTGGCCTGTTGCCTGGATAAACTTTAACAGTAGGTCAAATAAGATCGGCTAGTGCTCGCGTGTGAGGAGACAGCAAGGTGCCGCACTGAGGGACGGATGGGTAGATGCTGGGTGGAAGCCGGACATTTACACGGTTTATATTTATTCTGGAGATTTATTTTTACTTATGTGTACGTGTCTGTGTGAATATATGCCGCGTGTTTGCGGGTGCCCGTAGAAGTCAGAGAGAGAGTGTTGGATCCCTCGGAGCTGGAGTTACAGGACGTTGTCAGGTGTCCGACGTGGATGCTGGCTGTGAACCTGGGCCCTCCAGAAGAGCCATCTCCCCGCCCTGGAAAATGGGACTTTGGGAAAGTCACACACACAAAAAAAATTGGCTATTTTATTTTGGCAGATTTGTTCGTTCATTCATTCATTCATTCATTCATTCAAAGTCTTGCTGTATAGAGACCAAGTTGGCCTTAAACACGAGGTCCTGCTGGCTCAGCCTCCAGATGCTGGGATTATAGGTCCACACTACCATGCCTGTCCCCTCAAATAACCTTTTTAGAAAATTATTTGTTTATTTAGAGACAAGGTCTTGTGGCTTGGAAATCACTATCTAGGCCAGGCTTCCCTGAGATTCACAGAGATCCACCTGCCTCTGCCTCCTGGGTACCGGGATTCAAGGTGTGCACCACCATGTTCGGCTACATGTTTACTTCTAAAATTTACATGTATGTATGTATGCCTGTTTCTCCATGTGGGCACCATGTGTGTTCATTGTCCTTGGAGGCCAGAAGAGGGCGTCTGATGCCTTGGAACTGCAGTTACAGGTGGCTGTGAGCCCCTTGTGGGGGCTCGGGTCCTCCGTAAGAGCAGCCAGTGTTCTCAACCACTGAGTCATCTCTCCAAATAACCTTGGATACCTTCCCCACCAGGGGACGGGCTTGTACTGATGGAGCCTCTGGGGGCTGTCCACCCCAAAGCTCATGGGTCTCTTCTAGCTTTGCTGCATTTCATCTCCTTTGGCACACTCTCCCCCCCCCCCAGTTGTTAGTGTGGTGTTGAGGTTGTTTTGTGGGGTGGGGACCCTCTGAACTTAGAATTCTTTGTGTATTTTTTTTTTTAAGGTATGAATGCTCTATCTGCATGTATGCCTTCAGGCCAGAAGGGGGCGCCAGATCTCGTTACAGATGGTTGTGAGCCACCATGTGGTTGCTGGGAATTGAACTCAGGACCTCTGGAAGAGCAGCCAGTGCTCTTAACCTCTGAGCCATGTCATTAGCCTTCTGATGCCTTAGGGTTCTCTGAGGCAGCAACATCAGAGCCCAAGCCAAGGCGTAGGCTTCCTTCTGTGGAAGCATGGAGCAGAAGCCTCTTTTGTGGTAGGCTTTTCAGCCTTGTGAATTTCGGGGGCTTCTCCTGTTCCTTCATAAACCACGTCCCCCACCAGGTTCAGAGGAGCCTGGAGAATGATTGCATCCGGAGTCGTTCCGAGTGAGGCATAATTTGTCAAGGGTTGCTTAGGACATTGGCCCCTGGAATCTGCCGGGATGGGCACACATGGGGGACACAGTTGGTGGACTGCTGACTGCAGTATGTCTCCTTGCAGCATCCTTGAGGCCAAGGCTAAGGCAGTTGCTGCTACTTCTGGATCGGTGCGGGTAAACCTCCCAGCCTCCCAGGAGCAGGCTCCCAGAAAGACTTCGTCAGGGCCATCTCTCCTCTGCCGCAACCCAGAGGTTGCTTTGGGCTCTTCCTCTCTGGCGGCTGTCATGCGCAGTAGTCACCGACAGAGGGTTCATTGTGTGGCCCCACCATGATCTCATTGCAGGCCATGATTAAGGAAAGGGTGCTGGGAACGGCCCCCACCCCGCTAGGCCTCTGCACTTCAACCTGAGCTTTAGATTGGGGAGCTGAAGTCCCATAGTGTTTCTTCAGCGAATCACAGGACATTCCATGTCTTCCTGAAATCTTCCTTCCTTCTCTTCCAATAACAGCAAACATATCAAACTCTGAGAGGGGCCTTTAAAGGCCGCACCGCACTATCTTGAGATGAGGGAGTGTCCTCTCTCTTAGGCTGTGTCTTTGGACGTCAGCCTCCCTTTTTCCTTGTAGGGGTGGATTCATTCCTTACCATTTCCTATTTCCCCTACACTGCGTTTGCATTAGTTTGCTTCTCTGTTGCTGTGATAGACACCACGACCAGAAGCAGCTTGGGCGGGAAAGGGTCTATTTTGGGAAGTCGAGGCAGGAGCTTGAGGCAGAAACCTTAGGAGGAACTGCTTTCTGGTTCTAATTATCTTTCTTGTACAGCTCAGGCTCCCCTGCCTAGGGAAGGCACCACCCACAGTGGGCTGGGTTCTTCTCTATCAATTAGCAAACAATAGAAGGCCATTCTGATGGGGGCAGTTAAATTCCTGTGTCTCTTCTTAGGTGTTGACAAGCACAATTAGCCTTCAAAGCTTGATAAGGCTCTTGATTGTAAGACCCAGATGTTTTCCTCTGTTTAATAGCCGGTCCGAGTTCTGCGTCATAGAGGGCATTAGGGTAAAAACTTCTTTGGGCATGACCTCTTGGTTTTATTTCAAGCTAATTTTATTTTAAGTGTGTGGATGCTTTTGCCTGCATGTGTGACTGTGTACCATGCATGCCAGACATCTGTGGAGGCCAGAAAAGGCTGTCAGATCCCTCGGAACTGTAGTTGCAGATGGTTGTGAGCCACCGTGTGGGTGCTGGGAGTCAAACCTGGGTCCTCTGGAAGAGCAGCCACTGCTCTTAACTGCTGAGCTGTCGTCTCCAGTCCCCCAAGGCCTCCTTGTGATACGGCTGATCTGAGATGAAGACACGGTTCCTGAACGGTGGGGGTCAAAGGAGATGCCCCGCCCTCTCCCCAAGAAAGGGCTGACTCCCTTATGCTTAGGTCGGACTGACGCCTCTTCTAAGGTACTTCTTCGTAGCCGTGTGTACGAATGCTTTTATGTCCATAGTTCATTCGTAACAATTGGCTACAGGTCACTTGTTCGTTTTTTGAGACAGGATCTCAGTAAGTGTATTAGTTACCTTTCTGCTGCTATGACAACACACCGTGACCAGGGCAGCTGATACAGGGGAAGGGTGGGCTTCCAGGTTCCAGAGGAATGAGTCCACGGTGGCGGGAAAGCAAGCCGGCAAGTAGCATGGCGGCTGGAGTGGGTGCTGAGGGTCATGGATTGTGAGCACAAGTAGGGTGGTGGTGGGTGGTGTGCTAGGAACAGCATGAGACTTGGAAAGCTGGAAGCCAGCTCCCGGTGATGTACTTCCTCCAACA